AGAAGTACAGGCAAGACAACCACTGCTGCTGCTGCTGCTGCTGCTGCTGCTGCTGCGGCTGCGGTTGTTTGCTGATGATGCTGCTGCTGCTGCTGCGGCTGCGGCTGTTTGCTGATGATGCTGCTGCTGCGGCTGCGGCTGCGGTTGTTTGCTGATGATGCTGCTGCTGCTGCTGCCGCTGCTACTCGTGCTGGTGTCTGTGTTTGCTGCTGCTGCCTCTCCTCTCAATTCTTTTTTATCTATTTAAATTTATTTATTTATTTATTGCTATTTATTTATTTATTTATTTATTTATTTATTTATTTATTTATTTATTTATTTATTTATTTGTCTGTCTCTCTGTCTCTCTTTGCTAACTGTCCCCATTTACAACAGTGCATTTCTTTTGAGGGTTTATTACTTTTATATTTCTTCGTCTTTGTTTATTTATTTATTTTATATTTAAGTTTATATTTCTTTATCTTTGTTTTTTATTTATTGTTTAATTATATATATATATATTTATTTATTTATTTATATTTATTTATTTATTTATTTATTTATTTATTTATATTTATTTATCTCTGTTGATTATTTACTTCTCTTTCTTTATTAATTTTTTGTGTATATTTATTAATTTTCATCAATTGTTTTTGCTTTTTTAAGTATATTTATTAATATATATTTAATTATGGATATAAATAAATAAATTATTTTCTTTATTTGTTTGTTAATGTTTATTTTTAGGGTCTACGTATAGGAGAGATATTACACCGCGCTCGCTTGCAAGAGCCGCTTCTTTATAACTTTTATCCCGAACGTTTTGCGGTGTATAGGCAGCTCGGTTTATGTTTATTATCTGCTGAATATCTTTTTAGCTGTCTCCCTTCTTTATCTCCTTTTACAGAGGAAACGCAGCACTTGGCTCCGGCAGGCTGGCACCTAAAATGTTTGCCTAAGTCTATTAGAGAAGAATATTAAATAATAATAATAATAATAATTATTATTATTATTATTATTATTATTATTATTATTTATCTTTACAATTATATACACTTAAAACTCAGTATATTGCTGCTGTAATCTGTATGCAAAGCATCAGCTAGCTACTGTAAAAATGCAGCAGCTAGCTGTCGCTAGATACATACATGCAGCAGCTAGCTATGCTAACTGCTACCCGTATATCGGCTAGCTAGCTACACACAGGCTAGCTACCTAGCTAGCGACAAACAGGCTAGCTAGTTAATAGCTAGCTAGCTAGCTAGCTAGCTATTAAGTGGCTGTGCTTAGCGAGCCACGGAGGGAAGCTGAGGGGCAGACTGCTCTCTGTTGTTTTTTTGTTTTAAAACCTAAACCGACATATTTATTTTAATTCAAGTCTACTAGTTTATATAATATATAATATAATATATAATATATATATATATATATATATATATATAGATATATATAGATATATGTACATGTATATATATATATATATATGCATATATATATATATATGTATAGAGATGTATATCTATACATATATTTAGAGACGCGTATATTTAGTAATGCATTAATAATATATTAAATATAAATATGTATATATATATTTATTTATATTTATTTATTTATTTATATTTGCATACTCTTAAATATATGCTATTTGTTGTTATATTTGTGTTTATATTTACATCGCTATTTATGTGAGCCTCAAGATGCATTAAAAATATTCAAGGGCAAAGACAAAGACACGCCTCATTGCTGCTGCTGCTGCTGCTGCTGCAGTTGTTGCTGCAGCTGCTGCTGCAGTTGTTTATAATGTAGTAACAAATTATTTTGGTTTGTTAATTGTAAGAAGTAAATAATAAGGCATCACACATCTGCTGCACTGCAGCGATGCAAGGCAGCAGCAGCAGCAGTAGCAGCAGCAGCTACAGCAGCAAAAACAGCAACAGCAGCAGCAAGAGCAGCAGCAAGAGCAGCAGCAACAGCAACAGCAACAGCAACAGCAACACTAGCAGCAGCAATAGAGTTCCTATTAATAAATATATCTTCAGCAGCAACTTCTTTCTTTTGCAGCAAATGACGTAGGCCGCAGCCGACTGGCATTGCTGCGGTTGTGTAGTGCTGCTGCTGCTGCTGCTGCTGCTGGTGTTGCTGGTGCTGCTGCTGGTTTAGAAGTAGCCGACTTTACACTGAACCGATATTGAATTAAAATAAAATTAAGAAGAATAAATAAATAAATAAATAAATAAATTGTTTTCATTATAAACAGCAGCAGCTTGCGTCTTACCGCAGCAGCCCCCGTCGGCTGCACCTCCGGGCCCCCAAGGGCAGCAGCAGCAGCAGCAGTAGCAGCAGCAGCAGCAGCTGCTGCTGCTGCTGCTGTGTCTACTGCATTATACACCTGGATGCTCCCCTAAAGACAGCCCTTTAGGAGCAGATGATAGCTGGAGAGCTGCTGCTGCTGCTGCTGCACACCCGAACTTCGCAACAGCAGCAGCAGCAACAGCAGCAGCAGCAAATAATACAACACACAAAAAATGTTGTTGCTCCTGCTGCAGTAAGCAGTTGCAAACTATGGATGTGCAGCTAGACGGACAGCTCCAGCTGCAGGTCGCAGCAACACAGCAGCAGCAGCAGCAGCAGCAGCTGTGGCCAATGGAGAAGCAGGAGCAGCTGCAGCAGCAGCAGCAGCTGCTGCTACTGCAGCAACACCAGCATAAGGAGGGCCCAGGAACTTCACCGGAAGCCTTTATGTTTGTGGTGTATATCCACTGCGTCAAGTGTGTTAAGGGAGCAGCAGCAGCAGCAGAAGCAGCAGCAGCAGCAGCAGCAGGGAGTCGAGTTGCAGTTGAGTGGACGGCGCAGTCTGGTGAGACTCACGCATGCACGAATGCAGCAGCAGCAGCAGCAGCAACAGCAGCACTAGGCACTTCCCCTTAGCTGCAGCCGTCCTTCAAGCAGCAGCTTGCCGAGCGCTCATTGCATCGCTGTGCTGTGTGCTGCTGCTGCTGCTGCTGCTGCTGCTGCTGCTGCTGCTGCTGCAGCGTCTGGCTGGAGCTACAGCCGCTCCCCTGCTTATTCTCTGTCTTCGAGTATTCCTTTTCGCTTCTTCTCCTTCTTAGTCGTTCCTGCTGCAGCAGCACCAGCACCAGCAGCAGCAGCACCCGCTCCCTGTACCCTCACTCTTCGTCTTGTTGAGGTAATCTCAAGTGCTGCAGCAGGTGCTGCTGTTGTTGCTGCTGCTGCTGCACAGCCAGCGGCTGCACTGCAGATGCAAAGCCCCTTTTTTCGGAGCAGGAGAGCCCCTGCTGCTCTCGAGTCCGATTCTGCTGCTACTGTTGCTGCTGCTGCTGCTGCGTCCGTTGCTGCTGCTACTGCTGTTGCTGTTGTTGCTGCTGTTGTTGCTGCTGCTGCAGGAAGGGACAAATGTGCCGCTGCTGCTGGGGTCTACGGACTTGAGAAGCTTCGGGCTCTCAGAGAGGTTCAGGAGACAGAAGGGTAAGCTATCATTTCTGCTGCTGCTGCAGTTGCTGCTGCAATTGTTGCTGCTGTTGATGCTGCACTCACTGTTGCTGCTGGTGCTGCTGCTGTCTTCCGGTTGCAGTGTATCTGGAGAGGACAGATGGGTCGCCCAGCAGCTGCCTGAGCGGCAGCAGCAGCAGCAGCAGCAAACTGCAGCAGCAGCAGCAGCACGTGGCATACGTCTTCGTTGCTTCGCAGCGTCGCTGGCAGCAGCAGCAACTATCTAGCAGCAGCAGCAGCAGCAGGCTGCGGCAGCAGCAGCTCCACTTTACGGAGCCCCACAGCGACTTGCAGGCCTCTTACCTTCTTCAGGTGCGGACGTTTTGCTGCAGGAAACTGCAGCAGCAGCAGCAGCAGCAGCAGCAACAAACTGCAGCAGCGAGTGCAGCAGCAGCAGCAGCTGCTGCTGCTGTTGTGCATGCGTTATCTTTCTGTCTCTCTTGCGGTCTCCCTCAGGCACTGTGTGCTCTTATCGCTGAAAGGAAGCAAACATGTGAGGTTGCTGCTGCTGCTGCTGCTGCTGCTGCTGTTGCACCTGCTGTTGCTGCTGTGGCCTCATCAGCAGCAGAACCGCAAGAGGTAGGTATGCCTTCAGAGAACGCATCAGCAGCAGCAGAAGCAGAAGCAGCAGCACAAACAGCAGCAGAAGCTGATGCTTGCCGCGAGGCGTCTCCTCCAGCAATACATTCAGGGAAGCAGCAGCAACAGCAGCAGCAACAGCAGCAGCAACAGCAGCAGCAACAGGAGCAGCAACAGCAGCAGGAAGATGACATATCACCGGAACAACCACAGCAGCAGTTGCAGCAGCAAAAGACTGAAGACGAAAACGCCGCCTCACAATTGCTGCTGCAGCAGCAGGAGACACTGGAACTGCACTTGTCTCCTCCTGGTGCAACAACAACAGCAGCAGCAGCAGCAGAAGCGCAGCAGCAGCAGCAGCTGCAGCAGCAACGGCAGCACTTTAGGGAAGACCCTCAAAATGCTGCATGCGCTGTCAGTCATGGAGCCTCTCTTGACCCCACGGGGTTGAGTCATTTGCTGCAGCAGCAGCAGCAGCAGCAGCAGGAAGTGCAGCACAAGCAGCAGCAGCAGCAACCTGCCTCGCCCATAACGGATCTGCTGCTGCAGAGCCACGCAGCAGCAGCACCTGGTGCGGTGCGTCGTGCTGCTAGCGGGATGTCTACTGCTTGGCAGCAGCAGCTGCAGCAGCTGCAGCAGAAGCTGCAGCAGCAGCAGCAGCAGCAGCGGAGGCGGAGTCGCATAAGAAGAAGTCTCTCATCTCCTTTTAGCTTCACTCCTTTTCCACGCAGCACGCGGCTGCTGGACGAGCTGTCTCCTCTTCAGTCTCCTTACAGCTGCTGCAGCAGCAGCAGCAGCAGCAGCAGCAGCAGCGCTGTTGACCCTTGGAGATCTTTGGCTGCGTCTCCTACTGCATCGGCTGCAGCAACAGCTGATGCAGCAGCAGCATCTGCTGCTGCTGCTGCTGCTGCAGCTGCAGGACAAGAGAGAGATATTTTGAACTCTGGCAGCTCGGTTACGCAGACGCATAAGTATGAGGACCCCCTGCAGCAGCAGCAGCAACAGCAGCAGCAGCAGCAACAGCAGCAGCAGCAGCAGGTAGGGCCCTCTTTGTCATCTTGTGAATCCAGTGCAAATCTGCGCTGTTCTACGACGCAGCTAAACTCATCCGCTGCAGCAGCAACGGCAAAAACAGCAGCAGCAACGGCAGCAGCAGCAGCAACAACAGAAGGAGCAGCAGCAGCAGCAGCAGCTACAACAGCAGACAACTGGAGCATGCATGCAGAAGCAAGCCCCAAATTCTATGAGCACTCCCCACCGGGGTTCAGTAGGAGTCCTCGCAGCCTCTGCAGCAGCAGCAGCAACAGCAGCAGCAGCAGCAACACCAGCAGCAGCAGCAGTAGTAGTAGTACTACTCTTACCAGCCCTATGAGCTACACGGCTGTGCTGCAGCAGCAGCACCAGCAGCAAGATCTGCTGCTTGAAGATGCTGCTGTTTCTGATGGAAGCACTGCATATGAGGCAGCAAGAAGAACATTAAAGGTATTTTGCTGCTGCTGCTGCTGTTGCTGCTGTTCTTGCCGTTGTTGCTGCTGCTGCGGTTGCTGCTGTTCTCGTCGTTGTTGCTGGTGCTGAGGTTTTTGCTGCTCTCGGTGTTGTTATTGTTGCTGCTGCTGCTGCTCCGTGCTGCTGCTGCAGCTTCTGCAGGTGTGTGCATGCGCTGTGTCTCAGCGGGCAGCTGCTGCTGCTCACAGCGGAGTGTCTCCTGGAGCAGCAGCAGCAGATGCAGCAGCAGGAGTGCTGCTGCAGCAAGTGCAGCAGCAGCTGCTGCAGCATCACCACAGGCTGCGGCGACTGGCTGCTAATAGACAGGGAGCAGCAGCAAGCAGCAGCAGCCCCAGCACCACTCAGTCGCAGCGCAGCAGCAGCAGCGGCAGAGAGGACCCTCTGCTGCTGCAGCTGCAACAGGCTCTAGAAGAAGCAGCAGCAACATGCTCACGACTGCTGAAAGAGCAGCAGCAGCAGCAACAGCAGCAGCAGCTGCTGCAGGGGCGTGGCCTTAGTCTGAGCGTCTCCGAGTTTGCTGATGGTAGCAGCAGAGTCTCTGCTGCTGTTTCTGGAGATGCTGCAGCAGCACAGACAGCAGCAGCAGCAAAAGAGCTGCTGCTGCAGCGCAGCAAGATCTGCGAGCTGCAGCAAAGACTGGCGCGTCTATGTGAGCAGCAAGCCACACCGTCACCAGCAGCAGCAACATTAGGAGCAACAGCAACAGCAGCAACAGCAGCACCGCATTCGGCGGAAGTTTGTGCTGCTGCTGTCTCTCCAGACTGGTCCTCTGCAGCAGCAGCCGATACAGCAGCAGCAGATGCAGCAGGAACACCACCAGCAGCAACAAAGCCGCCAGCAGCAACAACAAAGCCAGCAGCAGCAGCAGCAGCAGTATCGCTAGCAGACTGCATGCGTTCTCTGACGCTGCAGCAGCAGTCCCTCGAAAAGCTGCGCGATGCTGGCCTGCAGCAGCAGCAGCAGCCGCAGCAACAGGAAGGAGCCCAGAGAGAGCAGCAGCACCCGCAGAAACAGCAGCAGCAGCAGCAGCAGCAGCAATGCGAGGCGAGTGAGAAAGAGAGCGATGTAGATGCGTTGCTGGCAGAGCTGCTGCAGGATGAAGGAAGGCTGCGGTGTACATACAGCTCGCTGATTTCTAATTCTGAGCCACCAACAGCAGCAGCAGCAGCAGCAGCAGCAGCAGCAGCAACAGCAACAACCCCACCACCAGCAGAAGCAGTAGAAGGCACAGCTCACGAAGCAGCAGCAGCATCAGCAGCAGCAGCAGCAGCAGCAGATACAACAACGGCTGATACGGAAGCAGCAGCAAGCACAGGATTTGAATGCCCTGTCCTACCGACTGTCTCCGAGGCCCTCTCCCCCAGTTATGTTCAGCAGCAGCAGAAGCAACAGCAGCAGCAACAGCAGCAACAGCAGCAGCAGCAGCAGCAGCAACAGCATCAAAAGCAGCAACTTCAACAGCAGCAGCTGCAGCCTCGTGTGAATGCTGCTGCCAGCTCGCGCAGCGGGAGAGATGTTCTGGTTGAGCCCCAAGGGCAGCAGCAGCTACCTTGCCGCAGCTTCACCCCCAGCAGCAGCAGCAGCAGCAGCAACAGCAGCAGCAGAAGCTCGAGGCTCTCCCTTCAAAGAGATGAAGCAACTCTTTCTCGATCTCTTGGGGCCCTGCCTGCAGCAGAAGCAGCAGAGCCGCTGCGCTACTACCCATTACACATCAGTGCGCACCAGCAGCAACAGCAGCAGCAGCAGCAGCAGCAGCAAGAGGCGCTAAGGCACATGCAAGAACAGCAGCAGCAGCAGCAGCTTCTGCTGCAGAAGCACCTGTGGAGTGCAGGCATGTGGGGCCCCGCTGCCTCCTGGCATCAGCAGCAAAGCTTTCAGATGCTGCAGCACACGCTGGAGCCTGAGGAGGAGGAGCAGCTGCAGCAGCAGCTGCAGCAGCAGCAACTGCAGCAGCAGCAGCAGCAGCATTTTCATGGTGCTGTGCTACCCATGGGGCGGCACCGCCTACAGGGTGCGGACGCGTGCTTGAGCAGCAGATACACTGCTGCTGTCAGCTACCAGCAAACCAGCAGCAGCAGCAGCAGCAGCAGCAGCAGCAACAGCAGCAGCGCTTCTTTCTATCAAACGCTGCTGTCTGCTGGGTCAGCGCAGCTGAGCTCAGCAGCAAACTGCAGCGCCAAATCTTCTCCGTTGTCTTCCCTATCATCCCCTCACGACACCCAGCAGCAGCAGCAGCAGCAACAGCAGCATCAACAGCGGCAGCAGCAGCACCAGCTGCTGCAGCACCAGCTGCGGAGACAGCTGGCGAGCCGCTCTGCTTCGCTGCCTGCACTCCCTCGGGTAAGAGAGTGGATGTTTGCTGGAAGAAGGCCTCACCCGCTGTTTGCTGCTGCTGCTGCATCCTCCTCTCCGCAGCAGCAGCAGCAGCAGCAGCAGCAGCAGCTAGCCGCATGCAGAGGGCTGCAGCGGATGAGGTCTCTGCCTGTTAGCGCCCACCCAGCAGATTTCTTCGCTAGCAACAGCACCGAGGCACAGCAGCACAAAACAGCAGCAGCAGCAACACCAGCAGCAGGACGGCGGCCCCCCGCGCTGTTGGGTGTACCCGCAGGTGCTGCAGTTGCTGCGAGCTGGCTGCAGAGCCCTCAGTAGGAGCAGCAGCAGCAGCAGCAGCAGCAGGTGTGTCTGTTTGCTGTGAGACACAAAACAAAGATTTATTTTTTCTATTGCCTCTTGGTCTCACTAAGCTGCTTTGCTGCTGCTGCTGCTGCTGCATCCTGCTGCAGTTCTCTTTGCTTTTGTTTGTAGTCTCTATATTAGACAGAACCAAGAGAATCTCCAACAGCGTCAGTGCTGTTGCTGCTGTTGCTGCTGCTGCTGTTGCTGCTGCTGTCTCGTACTGCTGCTGTTGTTGCTGCTGCTGCTGTGAGGGCACACTCTATTATCTGGGTGCTGTGAGGCTGGCACACGTATGCCTCAGCAGCATTAGTAGTAGCAGCACCAGCAGGATGCAGCAGCAGCAGCAGGCTGCTGCAGCAGCAGATGGGGAGTAGAGAGCAGACAGAGAACTACGTGCGCGCAGCTTCTTCCTGCTGCTGCAGCCATGGTTACTGCAGTCGTTGCTGCTGCAGCTGTTGCTGCTGCCAGCTGTTGCTGCAGCAGCAGCTGCTGCTGCTATCCGTATACCAGCTGTAACGATGGTTACAGCTGTTCCCTACACCGTAAACCCTAAACCCTTCGGTAAACCCTAAACCCTAAAACCCTACACCCTAAACCTCCGGATACACTCCTACCGCTGCCCAAACCCCAGTAAACCCTAATAAACCCTTACAAACCCTAAACCCTCATCAGCCTAAACCCTAAACCCTAAACTAGATGCATGTTACCTAGGAGAAGCAAACTGCAGCAAAAAGACAGATATACACCCCAAGGAGGTGTTCGGCTACAACTCAAACGCCCAGTGTACGCATGCATGCATGCATGCATGCATGCATGCATGCATGCATGCATGCAAGGAAGGAGAATGAAGTCATACAAACATGCAGAAGAGGAAAATGATCCGACTCTGCGGTGTCTCTGCTACCCACCCCCCACCAGGTGTACGTACACCCTGCAAACCTAAGCTCAGTTCAAGACGGCACACGCATGCATGCACGCAGGCCCAACATCACCCCGCATGCATGCATGCATGCAGTGGGGTGTACATACAGCCCGCTGGACGCCGAACTATCCCTCTAATAGAAGCTACTTACTTCAGAGGGGGGACCCCCGCTCCCCCCAAACATGCAGCAGCCAGAATGCATGCATGCATGCATGCATACACCAGAATGCATGCATGCATGCAGTTGCTCCAGACAGTATAAATAAAGGTGAATAAATGCTCATGCATACATCTGCATGCAGCCCCATACGAAAAACACCAGCTTCCATTTTCAAGGGCCAGTGTGCGTGCATGCATGCAGCGGTTTGCTGCTGTTGCTGCTGCTGCTGCAGCATGCATGCTGTGTCTATGGCTGTTCAGGCAGCAAAACCGAAAAGACCTGCTGCTGCAGCAGCTAAGCAGCTGCGCTGATCTCATCTCCAGCGTCTTCTGCTGCTGCAGATTCACTTGCTGCTGCTCCTGACGATGCTTCTGCTGCTGCTCCTGCTGCTGTTGCTGCTGCTGCTTCTGCTGCAGCTTCTGCTGCTGCTTCGGGGGTCTTCTCTGCAGGCAACTGCTGCAGCTCCCCCTCACCTGGGGCAGCAGCCAAGACATCACCTACTTCTGTGCATGCAAGCTGCTGCTGGTGCTCCGGCTGCTGCTGCTCCTGCTGCTGTTCCTCCTGCTGCTGTTCCTGCTGCTGCTGCTGCTGCTGGTCCTGCTGCTGCTCCTCAAGCGCCTCCGCAAAGAGAGACTTTGAAAGCGACTGCTCCTGCGCAGCAGCTTCTGTTGGCCCTGCTGCAGCGGGCGCTGCTGCTGCTGCTGCTGCTTCTGCGGGCGCTTCTGCCTCTGGCGCTGCTACAGCAGGCGCTGCTGCTTCCGGCGCTGCTGCTGCTGTTGCAGTTTGCTCTGCTGCTGCTGCAATTCCCGTCGGTGCTACCAACATATCGCCTTGTGGGCCGGCTTGCGCTGGTGCTGCTGCTGCTGCTGCTGCATCTTGCACAGCAGCAGTTGCTGCTGCTGATGCTTCTTGAATAGCTGCAGCTCCTGGTGCTGCTGCTTCTTGCAGAGTAACAGCTCCTACCCCTTCCGTCGCCTGCTGCTGTTGCTGTTGCTGCTGCTGCTGCTGGTCTTGGAGGGGCGGCGCTCCTAGAAGATGGTGCGTGGGGACTGTTGCTGCTGCTGCAGGCGCTGCTGCCGCTGCTGCCGCTGCTGCTGCTGCCGCTGCTGCATCGAGCGGAGGAGCAGTAGGAAGCGCAAAGCTTGCTGCAGGAGGGCAGAGGCCCTGATTGAAGTGCAGCAAGCCGGCGGCCATCTGCTGCTGCATGTTGAGAGCAGAAGCAGCAGCAGCAGCAGCAGCTGCTGCTGCTGTTGCTGCAGGATCTCCTGTGGGGTGTTGCTGCTGCTGGTCGTGTGCGACACCTGGCTGTGGAAGTCCTGCTGCAGCAGCCGCTGCAGCAGCAGCAGCAGCAGCTGCTGCTGC